AGTTTAAAGCCAAGTTGCCTGGCTGAAACCCTGAACTGGACCCCACTCAAGGGAGCAAAGACCACACACCAGTGGGAGGAGCCATAGGCAGAGACAAGAAGACCAGCCCTTGGAGAAGGAGGTGCACAGGGTCTCTCCACCATTCCCTAGGCCATCTGAGGGTCTGGCCAAACAGACGTGGGGGTCTGGCCAGCCCCTGCTGCTGCTCTACGCTCTGTCTCAGCACCAGTAAATGATGCCAGCATCCTCAGGGCATCCAAGTTTCTTGCCCAAGGCCCCTCAGGCCACCTGTGGTGCCATGCTAAGCAGCGCCTCCCCTCTAACTGTACCACTACTGCCCCCTTCCAGATTCCCTGTTCCAGTACCTTCTCCTGTGCTCATCTCAGGAGTAGCCGGAGGGCTGAGTGCCTGGCAAGCTTGTGAGCTTGGAGTGGCAGGCCAAAAGGGCCCCACCTCACTATCCCTGTTCCGCAGGGACTTAAATCCACCACAGGAAATTGCCAGGCTAGATCAGACACCAGCTGGGAAAGATGGATGTGTGAGAGCAGCTCCCTGTTCCACCCACACCCAAAACTCTGACATTGGCTCCATTGGAAGGCTGGGCCAGAGACCGTGGCCAGCCTTCCTCCCAACCCTTTATTTGGCCTTAGCCAACCTCCAATGGTGGTCAGTCCTGGGCTTGCCTGACTAAGCACATTTGGACAAACCCACTGCAGCTGCCCGATCTCCTGAGAAGGGTCTATCAGGAGAGCAGAATGCAACCGCTCCCCTTGGATGAGCAGGGCAGCAAGGCATATCTGACTAAAGCCCCAGAAGCTTCTCCATGATCCTGAGAAAGTCACTGCCCTCGATCTCCCCCCCAGCAGGTTTCTTCTCCTATCCACCTGGAAGCCCAGGGCGCAGCAACTCTTAGAGGTAAATACTATGTAAAATTACCAGCAGCTCCCCTAAGCTTAAACTGCTGTTCTGTTTTGATCAGGTGACTAATGTTTCACTGCTTTCCTGCAATCACCCTGGGTCAGGTGCCCAAATTATGGAATGAAGGCAGCATCTCACACCTCACTGAGTGACACGGAAGATGCTCCAGTGGCCAGGCAGAGGTCTGCCCATCCTCGCTGGGTGGACAAGGCGCCAGAGCTGGAGGAGGGACGTGGTTTGGTCTGCACCAGGCCAAAGACTCCCTCCTGAGACCTAGAGGATTCTTAGGTCTGTGCGTGTTCATGTTAGTAGACCGAGCACAGGTTCAGAGTCAGACAGGTGTCAGGCTGAATCCTGACACTGTGCCACTTCTAGCTGTGTGCCTTCAGGCAAGTTAACAAACTACTCTGACCTTCAACGTCCTCTTGCAACAAGGGGATAGTAATTTCTTACAGGGCTCTGCAAGGATTAAATCATGCCACTTCTTTAACATGCCTAGCACATGCCTTCAGGTCAAATGCTTTACTGAAGTCAACTTTTTCGTAAAAAAAAAAAAAAAAAAAAAAAAGTTCAAGGCAACACCTCTGGGTCTATGTTAAATGCCTTAGGGCATAAAGGATTTTTTTTTCCTCCCCAAGACCCTTCCTCAAGGAGAGAGCGAGCTCTGGGTAGAAAACCCTGAACTAGATCCCAGTGCTGCCACTTACTGGCCTTGTGACCTTACATAAGTCACTCTAGGCCTTGGTTACCATACCTGAAAATTGGAGATAACACCTCCCAGCCAACTTGGCAAAGGAGATGACAGGTATGAGAGCTATTAAGTACCACATAAAGTAATCACAGCAGAGATAACTTCTCCCTTAACACATTCTGAGCAGCTGAAATTTTGGAAATACCAGATATCCTTCATTATCTTCCTAGTCAGGGCTCTAGGTCCCATTTCTCATCAATTACCTCTGATTCTCTGAAACGCCAGCCTATGGATTATTTAAAGAGGTTAAGGGTCACAATTATGTTCAGGAAGGCTCTACTCTTACACAAAGAAGAAAGAGATAACGTAAAGGAAACCAGGCCAAGGATGCCAGCTTTTCTCTAAGCATAGGCCTAGTCGGCTTCTCATTTGCTGTTCCTGGCCAGAGAACTGGGTTGACGAGAAGAGCAGCCAGCCAGGTCAGCGTCTGCCCTCCCGGTTCCCAGCCACTCCAGCGCCCCATGGTTATTTTTGGCTGACGCTGCCCCACCACTGCAACCTCAAACCTGCCACCTTACAAGTCGCCACCACCGGGTGAAACGCTCCTCCTTTTCAAGGGCATGGAGGAGGGAAGCTGGAAGATCGCCAACTCCGCCTCGACGGGGGCCTGGCTCAGGCAACTCCCACCCCAGGTCCACACCAGGGCACCCGCACCCGGAACTAAAGCACACAGGGACTCCCGGACCAGGGAGCAGCCCGGGCATTTGTACTGTCAACTTGGGCTGGCCCCTCCCCCGGGCTGGAGCGGCTCCATCATCACAACAAAACGCGTTGGAGGCCCGCGGCTCTCGCTCGCGTCCCTTCCAGACGTGCCCTGGGTCTTAGAGACCTGAGCCCCTTCCCCCATAACCGCCGCCAGTGGTGGCCAGGGGAGACTCCGGGGGCAGGCGGATGGCCAGCCTGAGCCAGAATCAAACTCCAGGCCGTGCGGGGAGGAGGAGTCTACAGACCCAGCCTCGAGCCAAGGGTATGGGAGGGGTGTGAAGGCCCCTCCAGGCTCTCCCAGGTAGGACCCCGACCCCATTCCACGGGAGGTGCAGGGCCGAAACTGAATCCCTGCAGGGGCCTCAGAGGCAGCTCAGATTCCGACACCGCGGGATCCAGAGGTTGGGGTCTGTGGTGACCGCCCCTCCGGGGGAGAAGCGGCGGGTCAGGGGTGAGAGGTCGGGGCCGCGGCCAGAGGCGGGCCGAGGAGGAGAAAGAAAGAGAGTAGGCCGAGACCGAACCGGCAGCTCGGGGACCCGTACCAGCACGTCCTCTTCACCAACTCACCCCCCGCCGCTGCCGCCGCCGCCGTCGCGGGCCCGGGCCCACACTCACCGTCTCCCAGGATCCGGCTGCGGCTAGGCCCCACTCCCCGCTCCGAGCGCCTCTTCCGCTTCCGGCTCCGGCCTCCGCCCGCGGCGGCCCCGCCCCTCGCGTGACGCAGCCGTCCCCAGTCCTCGCTCGACCTCGCTCGGTGGTCTGGTCGCTCTAGCCCCCGACTCGAAGGCTCTGGAGGACCCGTCTTCGCCGCCCCGGTCCAGGCGACAGCAGTGGAGACTGGTTCCGGGAGGGCAGAGGGGACGTCCCCGACTGCGGCCCGCCCCCCGCCGTGTCGCGACGCACGTAGGCCCCAGGACTCCGCAAGGGTGCCGTCCCGCGCTGCGGGCTTTGGGAGCCCCGACCCGGCCGGGGATCGTGCCTGCTTCTCGGACCCGACCCCCACCCCCCCCGTGCCCGCCAACCCTTTCCGCGCGGAGAAGCGGGCATTGTTGCGCTGACGCCTCAGTGAAAATCGGACGGGCCTTGAGCGCCCGCCTGGCCCCGGGACCCCGGAGGGCGCCAGAGATGACGGAAGTCTGTGTCCCGAGGTTCAGGAAGGCGGTCGCGACTCTCGGTTTTGTGGAAGAAGCAAATGAGACCTTATTCTTTGTGTGTGTGGCGGGGGGGGTGGGGGGGGTTAAAGACATGCGGCACGCCCACATTCCCATGTGCATGCCGAGCAGATTCGCGGAAGATACCCGAGAGCCACGTCGGCGGGGCTTCTGGAGGCACGGGGTCTGGGGGAAAGGGAGTCTCGTTCTCCCTGAGCGGCGCAGTGAGCGGACTCGCAGTGTGTCTCCGCTTAATAGACCCCCGCCAGAGGAAAGCCCACGCCCGGCCGCGGCCAAGCCCCGCTGGCCTTTTTTTGCGAATCACTCGACGCCCCCTTTGGCCGAGGTCGCGAGGACAGGATCGCTGAAGCCCCTCCCACCCGCTGCCCCGCCCCTGGTGAGGGCGGGACGACGAGACCCCACTTTTCCACGGGAGAAAAACCGAGGTGTGGTCCTTTGTGGAGACCTCACGGTTTGTGAGAGTTCGCGCCCCAGGGCCCTCGCTAGCGTCGCCCGGCTAAGCGGGAGGCTGCGGCCCCTCACTGCCCCCACCCCACCCCAGGGCCCGAACGGCACGATGCCCCGCCCCTCCCGGGACGGCTCTGTGAGGGCGGGCCGCCCGCCTTCCCGCCTCCAGGCCGCGCCCACTCCCCAATGAGGGCTGGGCACGCCCCTGATGCGAGGCGTCGTGCCCCCGCCCCCGCAGGCGCCGTGCTTGCGGAGCCACCCCTCCCAGAGGCGCGGTGCTTCACCTCGCCTTCTGTCTCTGGCGTTCCCTTAAACTGACGGCGTGGCTCGAGGGGCTGCTTAATTCCCCCAATTCTATGTTAGATGCTCTCCCGCCCCCCATCCGAAGTAAACAACCGAAGCTAGGGGAAAACGGGAGGCTTGCTACGCTAACGCAGCCTCAAGAACGGCTCCCGGTCCCCTTCCAACCAAAGGCACCCGCCCCCCAATACAGAAATTCAGGAGGTGCTTCGATTGTGCTGTGGGTGACCGAGAGCCTTGCTGTCTCCATTCCCTTAGAATCCTGCCTCAGGGCTGGAGGCAATGAGTTGCCATTCTTGCCCGGCCCCCGTGCTTGGCCACACCAGCCTGCTTTCATCTGGGGTTTCATCCACTCACACGAGGTGAGTGGACTCTGTGTCTCCTCCCCGCATCGCGTCGCGTTGCCCGCGTTTTCCAAGGCTTCCGGAAGCCAGGACCGCGTGGGCCGCTGAGGGTGGAGGAGCTGAGAGGGGAACTCCCGTCTCCAGCCCTGCCCTGGGAGCCAGGTTCTTAAGGGTTAAGCCGGCCCATCTTCCCACCATCCCTTTCCATATTAGGAACCCAGGAGCCCTGCCTCCCAGTAAGGAAGCCAATCCCATTTTCTGAAATGGAACAGGAGCCATCTCCCAGCCCCTTCTCCAAAATCTGCAGTTGAGTAGCTGTCCGTGCCTCAGATTCTACCATCAGAGCTTCATTTTTTTCATTAGGGCTTGTCTTTTTGTTCCTGAAAGAAATCACACCTAGAAGAAAAAGAGGCAGAGTATCAGGCACTTGGAAAAAGATCTGACCTGAGGTGAAGTAAAGGTAACTCTCCCACCCCCAACCCTCTCACCTCTTCCCTCCAAGGCTGAGATTTTGGGAACTCGCCTGGGGAGCTCAAGCGAGCGGGTCGTCTCCAGGAGCCTTGCTCCATGCCTTTCCAGCAACCTTGTTCCACATCCTCTGACCTTCAAGGACCAGCCTCTTTCCCCAGGCCTCTACCCTTGTGCGCACCAAGTCTTTTTCCGTGTGGGCTGAGAACTGCAGCCTGGTTCAAAGGCCCCAGGGAAATGCCCCTGCCCTGTGCCGCGCTGCCAGCCACCTGACACCCCCAGCAACTCTTGCCCCTCTTGATGTCCCTTTTGCCCTGCTGGGCTCCTAGCTCAGCGTGCTGCCCCCTCCAGGCCCCAGCTCCTCTGATCCCCTCCTTGTCCTGCCCACCCTGACTACCACATCCATCTTTGTCTTCTCTGGGGCTGTTAATTCATCTTTGAGCCTCGGCTGTAGGGTCACCTGTCTGGAAAGCCTTCCTGGGTGCTCCAAGGGGGAGTCAGGCTCCCCTTCCCTGCGCTCCCACAGCACTGAGGGCCGTGCCTTCCGCTGCACAGGCTCTGCAAGTTCAACATCTGGTCTGTGCCACTCCCTACTCCGGCAGACCACGAGCCCTTCCACGACCAAGCCAGGCAGAGTTCGGGTTCTCAGGGGGCGCTGGGGGCTACCGTGGGGAGCGCCTGTTTTTAGTGGGAAGACAGAACACCCAGCCGGAGGGGAGTTGTGGGTGCTCCCCAGGGCCTGGGAGAGCGGGGCGGTGGCCAGTCCTCATGGTCCATTTTGGAGAGGAAATGTGGAGAGAGCTCCGGAGGGGCTGCAAGAATGTGGGTCTGGAGACAGGAGAGGAGAGCGGCAAGGTGTCTGAGGGGAGAGGGCTGGTGGGTGGTAGTGCCATCCTGAACAGGGGGCGGGTCTGGGAATGTGAGGAGTGAGCAAGTCACTTAGTGGGTGGGGGAGCTCAGCCCAGTGACGCTGTCCTCAGTGAGCACCTTCTCCCTGTGCCTGCACAGAGCTGGGGCAGGGTGCCTGGTGCCCAGGGGTGTGGGTAGAGAGACAGTGCTAGGATTCTGAAGCCCAAACCCTGGAGGTGAAGTGGGTGGGCATAAGGACAAGTGGAGTGTGCAGCCGCTATCAACCCCACGAGGCCCCTTAACCAAACTGGTGGGGCCTAGGGCTCAGGGCCCCCACCTTACAGCTGAGGCTATAGAAGCCAAAGAGGGCACTGAAGCAGTAATTTGGCTTAAGGGCTCTGACCCCCACGTTAGAGCTAAACTACTATGTCCCCCAGATGTTCCCGTCCCCTACCATTTCCAGACTCCCACACTGGGAAGGGGAGCAGCAGGGGTGGGGGAGTGCAGGCCCAGTTCACAGTGGACTCCCTTCATGACCTTGGGGCAACGGGTGAGCCCTTCTGAGCTTCAGCTCCCCTGCCCAAGATGGAGCTTGGTTGTTTAGCAAGTAGCCAGGCCGTGGTCAGCATCACAGCTCATAGAAGCTGTTGGAACGGAAAACTTCAGGGGGGCTGAGGCTGGTGTTTATTTGTAGTCTGAATCATCAGGGAAAAGTCGAGGCCAAGTGGTTGGGGTTGACAGGTTTAGGTGCATGTTCAGCCCCGGGGCCTCAGTTTCCATGTCTGAAGAGGGGTCTCAGAAGCTGATGCTCTGGGAAGGCAGGACTGCCCCAACTCCAGGGCTTCCCATCTGTCCTGCTCTCAGGACCCACACTGAGGCAGAGCCCCGTGGACCTGATGCCTGGCCCCTTCTGCTCTCCCTGGCACTCCCGTCACTTCTGGCCACTGGACCGTGCCTGCTCACCAAGCCCCACTGAAGGGTGCAAGTGAGTGTGGGGAAGGTGGGCACAGCAGCCCCTGAGGCCCAAGCCGAGGCTGGGCTTCCCTTTCCTGGCAGGTGCTCAGACAGAGCCCTGGAGCAGGACTGGAGGCCGTCAGAGAAGGGCCTGCGGGTATGGCTGGCAGAGCGCGTCTGGCAGTGTTGGCTGACCACCTGTGGACGGCGCTGGAGGCCCTATTGGGCGAGCACAGGCGCCGCAGATGCGGGGATGCGAGCTGGGACTCTGCAGGGCCCTGTGTGAGCTCCTCACTCTGGGGCACAGAGTGAAGTTCCCGTTCTTCTCTCCCTGGTCTTCCTTGCTTCTCTGCAGGCCCAGGGAGAACCCCTGAGCTACAAAATCCTCTTCCCAGGCCGAGAGCTCTAGAATGCTCCGGGCTGGTTGCCCACATCTGGGGTCAGGTTCTCAGGAAGGCTTGTCAAGGTCTGGGGCATCCAAACGAAACAGGAATCGAGTCCCCAGCAGAGCTTCTGTGAATAGTGTCATTTCTGTGATGGCGCCCCTGGAGGTGTGCAGTGCATTATCTGGTGTGGCTGGGGGCACTGGATTGGAGGCAAAGGAAGGGCCAGGGTCCCTGTGACACCCACCCACCCCCCGGCCAGAGAGAGTCAGAGGGAGGGAGGTGGCTGGTTTCAGCTCAGTGGATAGAAAAGTTTCCAAGGCCCAGTTGCCCCTGGCGAAAGCTGCAATCCCCAGGGAGTGAGGAAGGTGAAGGCTCATGCAAGTTGAAGATTCTAGGGGAGGCCCCCAGAACCCCTGCCCCATGTGGGCAGCACCACACCGTGATGGCCTAGGCTCCTAAGCTTTTAGTCACCGGGGGTCTCAGCCCACAGCTGACCCTCCTAGAGCTCCTGCTCCCTACCATGCTGGGGGTGACCCTGGGGACCCACCCGTCTGCTCCTGCCTCCCACTCTCTAGCATTCCATGACAGCATCCCTCCTCCTTTTGCCGGAGCTCCAAAGCCATCAGCAGCTAGTGTGGAGGAGTGCTGTATCAGGTCCAGCTGGAGGTGGGGGGTTACGTGTCTGGAGCCTATAGTGGTAACAGCAGCCCCTCGGAGCTGTGGGGCACAGTCCCAGGTGTACAAGCCAGGACTCGGGTCTGTGCTGGGCTAGCAGCCGGGCCCTTGGTGGGGCTTATCGCAGCGGTGGAGCAGGCAGGGCCTTGTGGAGTCTGCCTGCTTTATCAAAATCTACAGACACTGCCGTGCCTGGGGACAGGGATGGCCCTCTGCAGGGGCTCTGTGCTGCCTTCAGCCCTCCTGGCAACAGGTGGAAAGCTCCCTGGCCCACCTGGCGCAGGAGAGGCACCAGCTGCAGGGATCCCAGAGACAGGAGTGGAGGCCAGACCGGGACACACAAGACAGGTCAGGGTGCCCGGTTATGGGTGAAGGGCACGGTGGCAGAGGACGGGCAAGATCGTGCTACTGCAGACGGAAATGGAAAAAGCCCAGCCGTGTTTGGACCAGAGGAGCCAAGGGCCCCGTGGGCCAGAGCCCTTCTCTAAGTGGGTGCCTGGCAGGGCGCTGAACACCGGCCCTGCCTTCTACTTCATTCTTTGGTCTTCATTCTTAGAGCAGCAGCTGGCAGAGGAGGGCAGTGCGAAGATTTCTGTTCAGTTCCCTCCCCGTCAACATTTGGGAAGATGCTGCCATCACCCGGCCTACTCCCCTCCGGGTCCAGATGGGAAAACAAAGCCATCTTTGTAGGAAAGAACTTGTTCAGGCTCCAGACAGTGTGGTCTGGAGGCTGTGAGGAGACCTCAGGATCCTGGACCGAATGTACCTGCAGGAGATGCTGGTGTCAGGCCTGCAGGGCCAGGAGCTGAGCTGCGATGGGGACAGGGCCCGGGCACTTTAGGGCCCGGATGACGTCTTGATGGGGGCAGCCGAGACCCCTGCCCAGGCTCAGGATATAGCCTTCCTGCAGGAGCAGCTGTTGATCCTTGGGTCAGGTGGCCCAAGACAGCTGGCAGGATCGTGCCCCCCCGCCCCCCAGGGAATCCAGGGCACCAGCTGAGCCAGCCTGTGCCCACCTATACCAGTGGGGCAGAGAACCAGGGGATTCTAGGCCCTGACCTTGGGGATTCCAAAGTTGGATGAGGGGCCTAGGGACACCATGGAAAAGGGAATGCCCAGGAGGGACAGATTGGAGCAGGGCCTCCACACAATGCAACTCCAGCGTGCACCGTTCCCACTGTGGCCCCAGAAAGCGCCCTTTGGTGGTACGCAGCCTGCCTTAACCCGTCTGGTCCAGATTGAAAGCTTGGGGTTTGGAGAAGTCCCTTGGGGGCTGGGGAGGTCAGAGGAGGCCTCTTGGAAGAGTTGAGTCCCAGAGGATGAGGGAAAAAAGGGCTCTGGGAGAGGGTAAAGGCCTGGTGGCTAGCCTGAGCAGACCGATCCCAGCCAGGTGAGCCCCACAGTCCGGTTGGAGGCCGAGCCATGAGTGGGGGGAAGGGGGATCTTCACAAGTGAACAGGAGACTCTCAGAAGAGCTGGGCAGAACCCCCAGTGACCAGTGGTCTGCTTAGAGCAGCCTAGAGGCTGGTCTCCACAGCCTCTAGGAGAGCACATACGGTGTCAGAGGGCCCCATGCAGGCCCCGGGGGCAGAGCACCAGGGCTGCGTGCGGAGAGGGTGGTGTGGCGAGCAGCACTGGGGGTGCCCCCCGGAGGCCTGGCAAGTAGCCACTCAGGCCCACCCTCAGATCGTCTCACACTGGGTGAGATGGCCCTGTGGGCAGGAGGCGGGCCAGCCTCTGTCCCCAAATCCTGAATCATGTGGCCAAATTCCCAGATTCCCTTCCCTGGGTATTAACACTCCTGGGTGTCCCATTCTGGCCCTTTAAGGGGAGCACGGGGGAAATCTTTCAGCTTCCACAAATCCTGTCTCTGCCACGTATGGCCAAACCTTTCCTGCTGGCCCAGGGCCAGGCTGGGGGGGAGGCAAGATGACCTTAGCTGCTGGGCTCAAGTCAGGATGCTTGGGAGTGGAAGTGCCCAGGACAGAGGGTTCTGTGTGTGTAGGGGCCACAGAGGAGGCGTCTCTGCCCCAGTCCCCATCCCAGCCAGTAAGACACCGTGAGGACGTCCATGCAACTTGGAAAGAAACCATTGAAAATGGGTTGGGGCGATCTGGGGCCCATACTGTGTCCATTTCTACTAACACACTCTAGGTCCAGGAGGTGCCAGTGCCCCTAAGGAAAGAGCTAGAAAAGGAAGAATCCCATCCCAGGCTTCAAGAGAAGGTGGCTGAGTGCTGGAAGGCACGCTGGCACCAGGTGGTAGTTGCCCTGAAATTTAAAGAACTGCAGAGACCCCAGACAGAGACCGAGGTCTGGTCTCCCCAGGTGGGTGCTCTCTGCCCACCTTCCTCTCCCTCCCCACGTGCCCCCTCTCCTCGTTCTCTTCCCCACTGCCCAGTCTTTCCTACTGCGAGCCATTTAGTGTCTTTCTGCTCTTAGGCTGCCCACTAGCTTTATCCTACACTTCCTTCCCTTCTCCTGCTTCCTCCTCATTACGCTCCACCCATCCATCCTTCTTTCCATTCCCCCCGTTCATCCAGCATGCCTTCCCTGAACATCTACTACATGTCTGGCCCTCTTCTGTGTGCAGGAGAACCAAAGTCAGATCAGACCACTCCTCGTCCCCAAAAGCTTATGGTTTGGGGCCACACAGTCCTCAAGTGGGCAATTACAATTTAATACGTCTGATGAGGAGAGGGGCACCTTGGTGGCTCAGTTGGTTGAGCATCTGATTCTTGGTTTCGGCTCAGGTCATGATCATGGTTTGTGGGTTCAAGCCCCACGTCAGGCTCTATGCTAACAGCATGGAGCCTGCTTGGGATTCTCTCTCTCTCTCTCTCTCTCTCTCTCTCTCTCTCTGCCTCTCCCCTGCTTGCTCTCTCTCTTCCTCTCTCAAAAATAAATACATCAACATTTAAAAATATATGTCTGGGGCGCCGGAGTGGCTCAATTGGTTAAGCGTCCAACTTCGGCTCAGGTCATGATCTCGCAGTCCGTGAGTTTGAGCCCCGCGTCGGGCTCTGTGTTGACAGCTCAGAGCCTGGAGGCGGCTTAAGATTCTGTGTCTCCCTCTCTCTTTGACCCTCCCCCACTCACGCTCTGTCTCTCTCTCTCTCTCTCTCTCTCTCTCTCTCTCAAAAATAAACATTAAAAAAATTTTTTTAGGGGCACCTGGGTGGCTCAGTTGGTTGAGCATCCGACTTCGGCTCAGGTCGTGATCTCATGGTTCTTGAGTTCGAGCCCCGCATTGGGCTCTGTGCTGACAGCGTGGAGCCTGGAACCTGCTTCAGATTCTGTGTTTCCCTCTCTCTCTCTGCCCCTCCCCTGCTCACACTCTGTCTTTCTCTCTCAAAAATAAACATTAAAAAAAACATTAAAAAAATATATATGCCTGATGAGGGGAAAGGCGTTGTAGGAGTTGGGGAGGGGGGCAGCAGATAGGTAAATCCTCCCGATTGAAGGGGTTTCTGAGCCTCTGAACCATCCCTGAAGGATGAACTGGGCATCCTCAGTGAAAGAATGAAGGGCACTTCAGCAAGAGAGAGGGGCACATGCAGAGGCCCAGAGAGGACAGATGTGGAGGTGGCAGAGTGAGAACAGTCCCTGACCCAGATGAGGAGTAGAGAAGGCAAGGGGGTGAATGGTGGGACAGGGGCCAGGGCAAGGGCTTGGGTGTCCTGGGCCGTGTCCACCAGACTTCCAGTCCAGTTTGGTGATGGCCTCCTCCCAGCCAGTGTCCTCCCTTAGTGTCTAGGGCAAACGTGTACATGCACAAGCAGATAGACTGGTGGACACTCCCTCCCCCCTACCAGGATACACGCGAAACACTCACCCAGAGACACGCACATGTTCCCAGATGTGCGCACACGGACACAGACAGAGTCAGCAAGGAGGCGGCCTGGAGGCCCAGGGATGTGGAGCTGCAGGGACCCAGGAGGGGGGTCCTGCTGTGCCGCAGTGGGGCTCGTCTGCGTGAGATGAAGGAGCGTGAGAGCGGGTCTCAGCAGCAGTGCTTAGCTGGCCTTGAGCTTCACGAAAGGTGGAGTTGGTCTAAATCGGTGTCTCAAACTGGGGCCCAGAGCTTTGCTCCGAGAGGGCCGTTAGCTCCTCAAGGAAGCAGATTTGCAGTGATTGTCTGCAACTGCGCATTTGTACAGAAAGAAATCTCAGTTTTTGTCTGTTTATCAACCCAGACCCCTGTGGGTTGGAGGTTGTCTCCTCAGGGCCTGGAGAGACACTACTCTTTATGGGGTGTGCACCCCAGTCAGGACGGGGGCCTGCGGGCGGACAACGCCGGTGAGAAAGCGTGGTGACTGAGGGCTGGGACCTCTGGGCAGATTCAGGTGCCGGGAAGGAAGTGGTGCGGAGCGAGCCCTGCGAAAGCAACATGCAAATGACCCGTAAACCAGTGTCAGTTTGGGCCCCAACAGGAGGGCCTTCCAGTCCTTTGCTTCTCGGGGACTGCCCAGGCCATTTCTCTCTCCCCAGTCCCCAGGGAGGCCCGGCCTGGACTCACCTTCTGTGAGCAAGTGGTGCCCCAGGCCCTGCGCCTGTCCAGGGAGAGTGATCTAGAATTCCACCCTGGGCCGTGGGCAGGGGTCCTCTGGGGAGCAGGGCCCGGGGCTCTCAGGGAAACTGGGCAACATCTGGCTGGCAGGAGGGTGCGAGGGGCTCCAGGGGCCTCCGGCGCTCTCCACCTACAGTCTCATCCCGACCTCAAGCTCCTTCCACCCTGACCCTCTCCCGGTCTCTATCTCAGTCTCTCTTCCTCTGTGCCAGCCCAGGATTCTGTGCTCTGCACTGTCCCCAGATCAGTGGTTAAGACCGTGGGCCCCAGAGCCGGAGTACTGGGCTCCAATCCTGCCTCCGCAGTGTACTTGCTACGTGACCTCGGGCAAGTTACTCTACCTCTCTGGGCCTCATCTGTAAGGAAGAAACCCCCAAACCAAGAACAGTTATGGTTCTCCCCCATCCGCTAAGAGGGGTAAACTGGACACGCATGTAGAAGGCTCAGAGCAGTGTCGGCATGCAGCCAGGAAATGTTCGCTCCCGTTGCCACGCACTTCACGCTGCTTGCTGGCGTGGCCGCTTGGAGGCGAAAATCCCCTTTTCCAACCGGGGATCCACTGGGGCTCCATGTCACTCGCCCTCTGGCAGTCTGCCAGGGCTGCCAGAGCAAAGTACCGCAAACCAGGGGGCTTCGGCAGCAGATACTTCCTGTCTCACGGCTCTGGAGGCTGGAAGTCTGAGCTCCAGGTGCCGCAGGGGTGGTTCCCCCTGAGGGGGGGATTCTGTTCCTGCCTCTCCCCAGGCTTCTGGTGGCTGCTGGCAGTCCCCGATGTTCCTTGGCTTGCGGACGCATCACCCCAGCCTCTGCCTCCATGTGCACAGGGTGCTCTCCCTGGGCACATGTTTGTGTCCAAATTTCCCTTTTGTAAGAACACCAGCCAGATGAGATCAGAGGCTCTCTCCAATTACCTCTGTAAAGACCTTATCTCTAAGGTCACATTCTGACGTACTAGGGGTTAGAACACAAACATAGCTTATACCTCCCAATTTGCATCCTGCTACCTTCCTGTCGGGTGGGTTGGGTAGGACTTGGGATCTCGGGGACCCAGCTGTTCCGTCTTCTCTTTCCCCTCATTTAGCCCCAAGGCCCTGACACGGCTGCAGAAAGGCTGGAGGGGCCACAGGAGGGGCCGCTGTGAGGAGGGGTGGGCACTGTTTAGTGAGCCCCCAGGCAGCCTGTCCGCATCCGGGTGGGAGAGGCAGGCGAGGGGCCAGGATGGAGATCACACACAAACGCGTGTGAGTGTTCGTGGGCATGAGAAGATGGGGTGAGGGCCGCCCTCTGTCTGGCCGGCGACAGAGCAAGATGCAGACTCTGGAGAAGGAAAACAGCCAGGTGGCTGCCAGGATGTAGAAGTGGCAGGTGGCGAGGAGCTGGAGGCTGCCCGAGGCTGGGGCAGCCCTGGGGCTGCCCACCTGGGATCGGGGCCCCCAAGGAGCCCTTCCTGATGACCCTAGAGTCTTTCCCAAACCCGAGATCAGGGACCTGGTGCAAAAGAGTGGGAGGCCCAGGCTCTGCCAGTTACCAGCCACTTCCCCTCAAGAGGTCTCAGCTTCCCTGTCCCAAAGAGTCCCAAACTCCCTGCCCTGGCCCCTGTCGTACCCAGGGGCTCAGGGGCGGGGCCGTGGGGCCCTGGGCAGCCCATCTGTCCACAAGTGGACAAGATCCTTGCACTCCTGGCTGAGCTGGATGCCGGGGAGCTCTAGGACTTTGGGCGCAGCTGACACCGGAACCCGCAGGTCCAGGTGCCCTCGGGTCAGCGAGGCCTGGGCCTGCTCACACCCCAGAACAAGGACGAGAGCCTGGACAGTTCAGCCAGCCTAGAAGGGAGGCCAGCAGTCCCAGAGTCCTAGCCGCCCACCCTCTTCCCCCAGCAGGGCCCCCAGGCAAGCTCTCGGAGTCTGCACGTGGAGGGTGGGCTCCCCACCCTGTGGAAGTCTGGGGACCAGACTGCCACCTACTGAGTGGGCACCAGTCAAGCCCACTCCCTCGGCCTCCAGACACAGCCTGTGGGGAAGGCCACTGTGGAATCTTCCCTGGGCCTCTCAGGCAGCTGGGTTCCAAAGGACACAGGTGGGATGGTGGCCTGGTGGCCCTTGCTGTTTTGGCTCAGGTCTCCATCTGTACACTGGGAGTGGTGTTGGCAATACTCAGGGGTTCTGATCCTCATTGGTCCTATGACCCTGTTCGGTGTACCCACTGGGTTACTGTCCCTGGGTCGCACTCTCTCCAGCTTTTAAGAACTAGGCCGATGCCCCAGCCGAGTGGCCCATTCGCCTTGGTTGGGCTAATGATGTTAGAATGGGGGTGGGGATGAAGGTACAGGTCTTGCTGTCCCCACCAGGCCCCAGGAGCTGCCAGAGCCAAGGACCACAGAGGAGCCAGAGGAGTGTCGAGCATGGGCTCGACCAGAGGAGGAGGGGAGAGCTCACGGGCAGGCAGGGCGGGAGCTGCTCCAGCCCCCACAGGAGGTGAGAGCTAGCTTGGGGTGCTGGCTGCCCTCCCTCAGATCAGGGTGGGGGCAGGGCTAGAGACCGGGCCTCCCAAGCAGAGGACAAGGCTCTGATCCCACACTGGGCCCTTGTGACCAGGGGTGGGAGGAACTGAGACCAAGGGCCCCCAGGGAGGTGAAGGTGGGGAGGGGAGGTGCCTAACTTGTTGGAGCCCGTGAGTCAGGATCAGGGTGTTTTCACTGAGGGCCAAGAGCAGAGCCTAGACCCACTCTAGGCTGGAGCCCCAGGCGGCCCTGACCTTGTACTATTGCAGGGTGGCCCTGGGAGGAGCCCAGGCACACAGGGCAGGCTCACCAATCAATGCAAAGCAAGTGCACAGGGATCCCATGCAGGGAGACGGGACGATCTGGAGATGTAAAGGGTTTGGAGACCTGGCCTGCCCTCGGGGAGCCCTTGGGCTGAGCAGCGTAGCCCCATAGGGAGCACTGAGGGAGTATCACCCATTCATATTTTTGTATTCAGGGGAATTTGTAGTCACCTGTACGGTGTGGAGAGGCAGAGGCTGTCCTGCTCCCTCCTCCAAGTGCTGTTCTACCTGCCTCTCCCTGCCCGACAGCTATTATGCCCCTTGTTTGGGTCAAGGCAGAGTCCCAGGCAGGCCCCCGCGAGAACCAGGGTGGGCGATGTCCTGAAGCACCAGATCAGGGTAGGAGCCAGTGACTGACTCCCTCTCAGACTCTCCCCCCATTCCCAGACTTCCCTGAAGGAGGCAGGCTTGGAGCTGGCCCAGAGGCGAGCTGGGCTCCAGAAAATCCGGGACCCAGAGCTGGAGGCTCACCAGCCGGCCCCGGAGGTGCCCAGAACCAGGTGCTCAGCATCCCTCCGCCTCTGTGCCTCTGCCAGGCCTGCATGCCCCGGTGGGGGTGGGGGCACGGTCCCCTGTGCCCAGTCCCCAGTGCCACTGACCTGCCCTCCCCGGACTCAGTCAAATCCCTCCCAACCTCGCACTGCCCCCAGGAGGGCCCGGGCCCTACAATGTGCTCACTGTCTTTCTGCCTTCCTCCCCAAGGTGGCAGAGAGGCTTGCTGAGAAGCTGAGGCTGGAAGCAGCTGAGGGCTCTGAGCAGGAGCTGGCGGAAAAGTGAGGACCATGGAGTGAGGGGCACCCGGATCTGAGGGGCTCTGTGGGGAGAAACCACCTTCCTTCACAGAGACCCTCACAGCTCTTCCCCTTCCCGTGAGGATTTGGGGGTAGATGGGAGAGGGCATTTAGGGACATGCTAAGAGAATCCCAAGGGGGACACTGCCAGGCCTGGAACTTAATGTATATCCTGGTCTGCCTTATTCTCTCGGAGGAACGGAACACGGGAAAGAAGCAGGAGGGGGCATGGCTGGGTGGGCTCTGGAGGCACAGGGATTAGGACCTCTGGGTTCCTGGGCCTGGGGTCATGCATGGAAGGAGAGTGGCCTTCTTATGCTCAAGTCACCTCCACCACTGACCAGCTCAGCGAGCGTGAGCAAGTCTGCCTTCTCTGGGCCTCAGTTTGCTCTTCTGTAAAAGGGGGATACTGCCTATCGTACCTATCTCAAAGGATGATGTGAGGATTACACGAGACAGTGCGCCTGGCCGGTGGCCCTGAGTTTCCCTATACCTGGGGTCCAGTTAGAGTGAGTTGGTACTAAAGTCATAAAACCATGGAGATGGGCCCAAGACCACCTGCCTCTAGGGCTTTAGTCGCAAAGTCTATTTGTCCGGTATTCTATCAATGAGGCATTATTTGCACTTAATACATTCAGGAGACAAAGTGGGCTGCCAGTGATGGACAATATAGCACGTTCCACGGCCTGGAACAGCTCCTGCTTTAGGCTTAAATACCATTTCACCTTGACGCGGGTTCTCATCTTTATGACCCTGTGTGGAGGAGCTTGATGGGGTACGGACTTCTATCTTTTGCCTGAGCTTCTCTCTGGGGACCACTAGAGAATGGGGTCACATCTGCCAGTGGGACCTGGGAGACTCCAAGAGTTCCGACCCTCAGGCTGAGAACTGTGTCCCCAGGGAGAGGAGCTGGTGTAGCTCTGAGCTCTAGCACTGGGAGGGCGGGAGCCTCCAGCCATCTCTCAACCCCTGAAGGTGACACCTGGGGACTCCCTAGAGGAACAGGCAGAGTAACCCCTGCCTCCCTGTGTGACCCAGACCCTGTTTCTCTCTCTGCCTTTGTTTCCCCATCTGCAAGCCAGAGTGGGGGGGGAGACAGAGGCCCACAAGGTCCTTCCAGCGTGGGCCTTTGGCGATTCTGAATGGATTCCTCAGCTGGCCTCCCTTTCCCTGGCTAGAACTGGAACTACTCCATACCTGGTTACCTGCCCTGCCTCTCTGCCCTCTGTGGGGTCAGCTTCTGCTTCATTTGTCCCCAGGTGTCAGCCATAGCCCAAGAACCATGGAGGAGAGGAGCATCTGAGAAACGTTGGCACTTGGGACAGTGCCCTAGCTGGAGGAGAAAGGTGTTGTGCCCACTGAGGCCCAGAGCCACCAGGGTCCAGGTTTATAGCCTCACTCTGCTGCACAAGAGACCGAGGTCAGCCCTTTGCCCCCAGTGAGCTGACAGCAGACTGTCAGGCTTCAAGAACCAAGGGTGGGAAAGGACTCCCTGGGGAGAGTGGAGCCCCCCCCCCCGCCCCGCTAGGGTTTCTGTCAGGCCTGAGGCAGGGGACCTGTCATAGGTGGCTGCAGTCAGAAGCCTCCCTGTCCCCTGCCTGAAATAGGGCCTGAAATGCCCATGTCAGTACAAGGTTCTTGACGTTTAGTGGACAAGGCCACCTGCCCTTTCCCAGGGGGACCCTGTGGCTAGAAGTGGATCTGGGCAGAGAGTGGCCAGTGGGGTGCTGAGGTCCTTGTGGGGCTTGGTTGGTCCATTCACTGCCCTGTCCCAGCACAATGATGACCACAAACCTTCTGTCTTACTGGTGAAGGCCTTGAGTATTGGGCTTTAGACTTTTCAAAGTGAGTTCTGATACATTTGTGCCTCACATCACTCTATAGTCCCTATTTCACAGGGAACTTGCCCAGACAAGGCAGTAATGTGCCCAAAGTCACACAGCAAAACGGCAGCTAAGCCCCCTGGTCCCTTAACCTGTTCCAGAAAGGTCGTTTCTCGTTTCTGAGCTTGATACAATGGCCATCAAAGATGGCCAGAGGCAAGGCTGGCTTAGAGTTGTCCCCCTTGAGGTTATCTGGCCATTTTTCTCCTTCTGAACTTCCCTCCCCACCCTGCTGTGTACTTCCTTCCCCTACAGAGCTCCGTCAGCTGGGCCACGTGCTTCCAGAACCTCCCTCAACTCTGTCACTGAACATTCCCTCCATCTACTGACTTAAGCAGAGTTTGGCAGAGGAGGACCCTGGCAGGATGGAAGGACAGAACAGCTCTCAGATTGTTTCTCCAGCATCATCTCCTGCAAAATGTTCTCTGCCCTCCCTGCCATTCACACAGCTGCTGTGGGAGCTACAGAGTTCCCAGCTGATGGGTCCAGCACTGGGTCCTGAGCCCAACAGAGCCAGTGGCCCTGTCCTGATCACTGGACTTGAGACAAAATCGTAGTCTCTCGGGGCTGAAGACTGGACACAGAAAACTTGGGAACTGTTAACTTCCCTGTTTTTCATGGTGTCAAAAGCTGGATTTCAGTGAGGGCAAATGGAGCCGACAGGTCCCAGGACGTGGAATTGGGATGGAGACACTTTAGCTCATCCCAGGAGGTCTCTTGTATGGAGAAGACATAAACTTGACCTTTAGGATGGTCATCTCACGTTGCTCTGTGGGCTGGGCAGCATGGTGAGCTGGTCTTCAGAAGGAAAGGAGTACCTTCCAAGGGCAGCACTTGCCAAGGCCAGTCCCACGCCCCGCTGTCCTTGGGCTCCCCCAGACTCCGAAAATAAATTCTTCTCCTTTCTGCTCACATGAGATGAGTGGTTTGGGACCCCTGCCAGGGCGCATCCCCAGTGCGCTCCAAAGCGAGGCGCTGCCCTCCCCGGAGGGCCCTCCCTTCAGGCCGGGCACCCACCCTCCAGCCGCTCACTCCCTCAGGCCGGCTCCTGTTTGCTTCCTGGCACAGACGGCGTCCCCCCCACCCCCCCACCCCCCCCCTCCAGAGAGACGGTACCTCTCTGCCTCCAAGCGCAGCAAGGTCCCCGCTCGTCCCGGTCCTGCTTTTCTGGTCGGTTGCTTCTTCCTTTCCCTCCAGGGGTGATTCCGACCTCTCAGAAGCCTCAAGCCACCAACTCCCCTTTTCAGGGCGGAGACTTCCAGGAGAAGGTGCAGGAGGCGTCCGGGCTTCCCTCCCGCGCCCCGCCCCCTCCCCCCATTGGCTATACGGAGGGCACGTGGCCAGTCCTGGCCAATGAGGTGGGGGGAGGTTGCGGCGTGGCGCGGAGCCGGGAAGGGTGGTCCAGGAGAATCTTGGAGCCTCTCAGGACTGTCAGGTGACTCCCGACTGCACAGCAAGGGGGACATGGGCGGAACGGAGACTTGGGACGACCAGACACCCCCTCCAACTTCTTCCTTCTGTCACCGGGCTGGGTCGCCCCTGCCCCTCACTGAAGGGAGGCACATGCAGGAGAGTTTAGGGCAGCTGATTGGAGTCCATTCCCAGCCCTGCCATTCACTAGATATGTGACCTCGAGCACATTTCTGGTTTCCAGTTTTTGCATCTGTAAAATGAACGAAGTTACTGCCTCATAGGGGTGTGGGTGGAGTGGAAAATAAGCGTGTATAGAATGCTTGGTACTTGCTGGGAGGGCAGACTCTGGACCCCGTAGCTACCGAATTAGAACCCCTACAGCTCTTCTCACTAGCTATAAGAACTCAGGCTAGTTACTCAACTTCTCTGTTCCTCGGTTTCCTCATCTGTAAAATGGGAATCATAGTCCCATCTCATATGTGTAGAGAATCCAAGGAATTAACACAGAGAACTTAAAACAGCACCTGGCCCACACCAGTATTCAGAAATCGAGTTTCATAGCTAAGTGCTGTCAGGTCTCCTGGAGCACACGTGCAGTTCCTCTGGGGTACAAACCTAGGAGAATTGCATGTGCCACTTGGTAATGCCCAAGTGTTTTCCAAAGTGGTTAGACTAATTTACATTCCCCTAGCAGTCTCCAAGAGTTCCCATTGCTCCCCATCCTTGCCAAGACCTGGTATTGTAAGACCAAAGTGTGTGCCAATCTGATGGTGTGGAATGGTTTTCTGTGCACTTCCCTGGCCCCAGCGAGTTCCAGCCATTCGTATTTCCTCTTCTGCAAAACAGCTGTTCATGACTTGGCCCCCTCTTTCAACCCCCCACCCCTTTTGCTTTTAACAATAAGCATTAACACACACACACACACACACTGGCTGTTAGTTTTATGTTGCAAGTATCATCTATTTTTTTTTTTAAGTTTATTTATTTAGAGAGAGAGAGAGCACAAGCAGGGGAGGGGCAGAGAGTGAGGGAGAGAGAACCCAAAGCAGGCTCCGTGCCATCAGTGCAGAGTCCAACACAGGGCTCAAACTCACTAACTGTGAGATCATGACCTGAGCCAAAGTCAAAAGTTGGATGCATAACCAATTGAGCCATCCAGGGGACTCTCCCAGTGTGTCTTTCTAAATACCAGTATCTTTTTTTTTTTTTCCTGTTCATTTATTTTGAGTGAGAGAATGTGAGAACATGAGTGGGGGAGGGGCAGAGAGAGAGAGAGAGAGAGAGAGAGAGAGAGAATTCCAAGCAGGCTCCAAGCTGTCAGCACACAGCCCAATGCAGGGCTCGATCTCACCAACCCGTGTGATCATGACCTGAGCCGAAATCAAGAGTCCAAAGCTTAACCAACTGAGCCACCCAGGTGCCCCCAAAACCTGTATCTACCTATTTTGAGGGGGAAGGGGCAGAGAGGGGGAGAGAGAATCCCAAGCAGGCTTCACACTGTCAGCACACAGCCGGATGTGGGGCTCAAACTCACGAACCTGTGAGATGATGACCTGAGCTGAAATCGAGTCAGATGCTTAACTGACTGAGCCACCCAGGTATCCCAAAATACCAGGATCTTTTGATAAACTCTTTTGGAGGGTCTAGTTGGAGAAATCCTTCCCTTTCTCGAGGTCTTGGAAGATATTCTCCTATAGGTCTCGTTAAACTGAAACGGGAAGGAATTGCAGCGGCCTGGTGCCTTGTTCTTCCTAGATTCTCCACGTCCGTCAGGAGCTTTTCTCCTCGCGCCATCCCCTGCAGTCACGATGCACCGTTTCCGCCTCAGAGGTCTCTAGACCCTGCTTCTCCTCACCTCCCCGACACCCTCGTGGGCCTCCTGCTGCGTCACAGGAAGCTGTGAGGTGTGATACCAACTACTGGTTACCAGTTATTAAAGTACTAAGGGCTAGCGGTGCCTGGCTGGCTTTGTCAGTGGAGCATGTGACTCTTCGTCTCCGGATTGGGGGGTTTGAGCCCCACGTTGGGTGTAGAGAATACGTAAAAAAATTACTAAAGGACTGGTCATTTCTTTCAAAAGGTGTTTAGAGACCAGTGAGAGGCTCAAGCCTGTCCCAAGGTCACTCTCGTTTGCTAGCACTTCAGAATGGCAAAGGGGTCTGCATTTGCCTGCCTCAGAGGACTGCACAGACTGGGGAGGGGCGTTGTTGTTGTGGAGGAGGGCAATTACAAATCCCCAGTGCTTTTCCTCTCTGCCCACTTCTCTTGGTTTCACCAAAACTGCGTTGTAGCCATAGGATGTGCATCATGGTGGAAAAAAAAGTCTGGGCACTCTGGGTCCAGGCCCGAGTTCCAGCGGTGGCATCCCAGAGGTCTAATGTCCAGAATGTCTTCTGACTCCAGATCACACTTCCAGAAAAGCCTCTTTTTAAGCCTAGGTCCTGGCTAAAACGTGTCAGCAGTGCCCCGATGCTCAAAGGATGGCACCCAAATCCCTTAGCCTGGGATCTATCCTGGACCCAGCCATACTTTTCCCCAATTCCTCACCCCTCCAACTCCAGGTCCTGGCCACAATTCCCCAAGGGCAGGTCCTCTGAGGCCACCAAGTTTCCATAGATCAGTTTCTCTGCCGAGAATGCTTCTCCTCACATCTCCAGTTGGCAACCTCACTCTTCCAGCTGAAAGATCGCCACCTCTGGGAGGCTTTCCAGAAATGCCCCAGTGAGCTGCCCCAGCATCCATCTGCCATCAATGGCCTACTGTCCCAGTCACATTGCATTTCAATTTTTGATTGGATAATTGTGTGTGCCTCCCCAACAAGACCGTGAGCTCCATAAGCACGGGGACCATACTTACTCGGCAGGAGCTCAAAAAAAGCCTTGCTAAATGGAGGCAGTCCCCTGGCCCTGTGCCTGCCAGGACACTGATGCGGAACCACTGGAGATGGTCCTGGTGGTCAGGCAATACCTAGGGTTTCCTGCCAAGCCAGAAACAGGCTGAGAGTGAGCACTCTGGAGAATGGATAAGCAGTAAAGGGCAGAAGGTTCAGGAAAACCCAGGGATCCAGAGGAGCGGGTCCTTTCTACTCTCAATGCTCTCACCGCTCCCTCATCCCAATCACTGCCCACTGGGAGGGTCACTGAAAGCATCCGAGAGACCTGCTTGTGTGAAGAGGTAGAGGTTTATTGAAATATAAACATTCGAGAACATGTAAGATAGAAAATAACCACAACATATACAGACACTTGCTGCAAGAGGACGTCTGAGGTATTTATCCACTGCCTAGGCTACCCATGTGCTAGCACATTTTCCTGGTCAGAGTACACAGATGGGGAGGGGAGGGAGGGGTGGGGACGAAGCGGCCCCGGCCCACCGCCTGCCCTGTGGCCTTCAGGACTGCACCTTCAGGGAAAGCTTCTCTTGCCCAGGGCCCCGCTCCTGGGGCACCTGCTGGCATCCCCGACTCTTGGGCTTCCGGGCTGAGACCTTGCTGTTGTCCTCGAGGGCAGCAAGGGTTTGCTGAGAGGGCAAAGCTGGCTGGGCAAGCTGCCTAGGGAAGGGGAGAGGATCCAATGACCAGAAAGCCACAGTGCACTGTCCCTGTGTCCTCCGGCTAGAAGAGTCCATCCTTTGTGACCAAACCCCTGAGAAAGACACACTGGCCAAATGTTGCGACACTTTCAAGTGGGCCCAGCGCCAGCCAACCGGGCCCTTCCTGGCACCGGATCCCAGACACTCTTCTCTGCCCACCGCCTGCGCTTACCTGGTGGGTAAGGCGGGAAGGCTCCTGAGGCCAGAAGAGGGTCAGACCCCGCTGGGTGGGGCTGTGTGTGTGTGTGTGTGTGTGTGTGTGTGTGTGAGCAAGTGTGTGGAAGGCTGGGGAGGGAGTGAGAAGATGTGTCCGGCAGAGTGCAGCTTACCAGGCTGAGGGAGCTGTTTTGTGCTCCAGCTTTTGATTTCCCTTTCCTTTCACAGACAGGGCCGAATGCTAGCCGTGTGACAGCTCGTGCCAGCGTGGCCTGTCACCACCACAGCCCGATGACGTCACAGTGAGCGGTGTTCTGTGAGCTCTGCAGGGCGGACTCAACCAGAGATGAGCCTGGTGTGACAATCACCCCATCTTCCCAATACGGGAGCGGCCTGCTCCAGCCCAGGGGCCCAAGGGAGGACGGAGCTCACGGCATCCCCTTATCCCTGGGACGGCTCTACAAGGCCTCTGTAAGGCCCAGGGCCTCCCCGGCCTGCCCCTGCCCTGAGGTGGCAATGCTGAGTGAAGGGGAGCCATTCTGTCCCCACCCTGGGGAGCTGGGGGTAGGGGTGTGGGACCAGCCCTGCTCTGGCAGCAAATGGGTCAGGAACCATCTTCAGAACCGTGTGGTTTCTGGACCTGACCTGCATGAGCAAGGGCCTCTCGCTTCACCGCCTCCCCGGCCACCGTGATCCCTGAGTCATCTGCCCTGCCTGCCTCCCCGCCTCGTCACTGGGGTCTTAGCGAAGGGCCGGAGGGGCTGGGGTACCAAAGGTTTGCTCGGCTTTAGGGGTGATCTGCTTTCATTTCTTTGGTGCTACAATAACAACAATAAAAATTAAAAACAAAAAAGTCAGCAAAACACATATAAAAAAGATATCAGAGATGCAAATACTTCCTGAAGAATCAAACATCAACAATTACAAATCTGAGGTATTTCAATGAACCTGACATCAGCAGGTTTGGGGATGTTGGGGCTGAGGTGACCCCATGAGAAGGGAGGGCCCGAGGGACAAGTGGGCTGTTCCTGGGAGAGGTGGCCAAAAGGGCGAGTGAGAGCGTGAGGTTTGGGAGGGCCAGAAAAGGATCAGTGTGAAAGCGGGTGCCAGGGCCTGCCTGGGCAG